TTTTAAAAAAAAAAAAAAAAAAGTGTAAGTCTGCATCCTCAATACTAAAATGTAATTCCATCTTCACTGTAAGAGAAGCTTTAATACTTAAACTACAGACACCTAGAAAGATGGGGTAAAAAGAATTAAGTGGTACAGGGTGCAAAATCATAGGTCCATAGGAGCCCTTGTAACAGTTAATAAACCTTTATCTTAATAAAATCGTCAGAATTTTTAATTATTTTAGAGACAGGGTCTCACTATGGTGCCCAGGCTGGAGTACAGTGGCCACCACAGGTGCAGTCACAGCATACTACCCAGAACTTCTGAGCTTCAGTGATCTTCGCACCTCAGTCTCTTGAGGAGCTAGGACTACAGGTGCCTGGTGTAGAATGTGTAAATGATGATGCAGACAACCACAAAATCTTCTCATCAGCAACGTCTGACATGTGCAATTGATTGGAAGTGTCTCAAATATATGGTAAATGCCAGTGGCTACTAAGGATGGCTGACTATGGTCATGTGGTGGCAGGCCTCAAATAAAAGATAATTTTAATAATAAAATTGTATCAGCCAAGGGAACACAGAGGACTGCATCAAATACATTTGGTCACAAAATCAAAGTAGCTTAGACAGGCAGGACACATTTCCAATAGCCCATCCTCAGTGGCGTGAGACACAGCCTAGGGCAGAGCCAAAGCTCAGTCTCCTGGCACAGCAAGCCACCAGTGTTTCACTTACTTCAACTCCTGGGAGCAGGTTTCCCTCACAAACTCCATCATCACGTGTTCCATCAGCTCCACGGCCAGGCCCTGGCTCAGCTCACTTAACACCAGCTCTCTCTCTTGTTTTAACCTACAGGGAAGATAAAAAATACACAAGGGTAATGTTTAAGAATAAAAATAAGTGCTGTTTGTTTCACTCCCTGGACATGCAGACAGGGATTGAGGTGCTGCCTGAGTCGGCAGGCCACCCCTACTCCAGCTCCCCTGACACCACCTCCCTTCCCCTGCCTCTCCTGGCTGGGAAGGGCCACTGCCCACGGGTAGGTGTGGCCTGGGGAGCTCCATCCACCCCTTGGGCTGAAGTGTAGGAGGGCATGAGTGGGTCAGCAGGGGTGGACAACAGCGGAAGCATCGCGGCCAGGGTCAGTTCTTGCCTGTGTCCACATTGAGCTCCTTATCTGTCTGCATGGACAAGACACACTCACCTTTCTTCTTCAGCCCGCTGCCTCTCCTGCTCCCTTCGCTCCCTTTCCTTAGACACTTCTTCAGCTGCAATGTGCCTCAAAATGCCCGTGGTTGCAGCTGTTAACAAATCCTCCACAGCAGCATTAGAAACACTAAACAGAGCAAAGGGGATAGCATTCAAAATCAGAGGCAAGGCCGGGCACGGTGGCTCATGCCTGTAATCCCAGCACTTTGGGAGGCCAAGGTGGGCAGATCACGAGGTCAGGAGATCAAGACTAGTCTGGCCAACGTGGTGAAACCCCATCTCTACTAAAAATACAAAAATTAGCCAGGCGTGGCAGCGCATGCCTGTAGTCCCAGCTACTCAGGAGGCTGAGACAGAATAATTGCTTGGACCCAAGAGGCGGAGGCTGCAGTGAGCTGAGATCACACCAATGTACTCCAGCCTGGGCAACAGAGTGAGACTGTCTCAAAAAAA